TCTTTAAGAAGGGTAGTTTCACAAGCTTTCAGGAAGGTGTTCAACGATGCTCATTCGGCACTTAGAGCTGGCCATTTTGGATCAAAGAAAGTGCTCCGCGAACTGAGCGGACGAGTTTTCTGGGAGAATATGGCTCGCGACGTGCGACTTTGGACGGAAGAGTGCAAGAAATGCACGTTGTTCAATGCACGACAAGAGATGACGCCTCCGCTAAAACCCGTGGTATCAACAGAACCGTTTGAAATGATCGGCATTGATATCCTGGAAATGGGACCAACATCTAATGGAAATAAGTATATCTTGTCCGTTATTGATCGTTTCACTAAATTTGGAGGAGCTGCCCCATCGCGACGAAATCCGCGGAAACGGTAGCGCGCACGCTATTCGAACGTTGGATGGCGGACGGTTGTCGCATTCCCAAGTGCATCCTTTCGGATCAGGGAGCGGGAATTTGACAACAAGCTTATGTCCGAGCTTGCCTCCATAATAGGTATTCGCCAGGCTTTCACAAAAGCTTACTTCGAGAAAACGGAATAACGGAAAGATTCAATAGAACCATGGGTTACCGAGGGAGAAAGTGGAAATGAATGGGACAGAATGCTCCCTTTCTGCACTAGTGCCTATAATACAACGGCGCATGAGGCCACTGACCATTCTCATGCATGGATTTGATGCAAACATGCCATGTGACTCCATGCCAGAACGAGCAAACTCCATACATGGTAAACATGGACTATTACATCCATGAGTTAATCAGTGGACTAAACTTGGCTCGCCAAAACGCGAGAGCAGAACGAGAAAGCGCGTGAGGCAATGAAACGCAGTTATGACAGCAGACATAAGGTGATGGTTAAACCGCTAAAGGTTGGCGACAGAGTTTACATGCGTGTGCCAACAGAGAAAGGTAACAAGCGCCTATCCCAAGCTGGTCAATGAATGGACTGGGCCGTTCAGGGTTGTAGGAGTCAGTGATAATAGTGCGACAATTACAGCCTTGTCGGGAGACAAGGACCCGCTTTGTTTACCCTTTGATCAACTCCGGAAGTTGCCTAGTAGGCATAGATAATGAGCCGGTAGTTACAAGTAGGCGTAGAGCTAGGAAGGGTAGACCAAAAGCGGCGAGTTCGCAGTTGTGAATTAATAATGTCTCTTTCAGGGTCGATGTTGGAGATCCACGTTTCGATCCGTTGCATCTGCTTCATCCATGTCAATGTGGAATGTTCAACACACGGGCTCAAGTGGGCTTGCCTGGATTACGTTGTGATCTAGCTCGTTCTAAACCTGTGAAAAATTTGTATGAATTAGCAAATGTAGCCTCCATTGCATTGCACCCTCACTGGGGAGATGACCGTGAGGAAACCGAACTCCTCAATAAGGATTCGCGTTATCTCACAATACACGGGCTTGCTACAGCGATTCAAGCTCACGCCAAATTCTGCTACAAATTCGCTGCTGCGGTGAAAGAAAAGGAAGGCGTCGAGCTGTCGCATCCACCACTGTTCACGACCAATCCAGGATATGACATCGAGATGTACTATCGGATGGCCATGGCTCGACGAGCGCAAATCACTTCTCAGTCGCCGGAATGATATCCCAGGAAACCCCGTCCTCACTGCTCTTCCGCGTCACTTCGGCAGGGTTCTTACTGAGATCGTAGAGCTGCCGACAGTGAAGTTCATTGTCTACTCACATTTCGGTGATCTCGCGGAGCAGTTGCAGAAGCAAAGCATACTTCAGCATTCATATGGATCTGGCCAAACGAAGTGCCCACACCCAGCACATGCTCCCAGGGCACGCCATTGCGTTGTGATCATTTCCTGAAAATACCCCCCTAATTCCATTGTCAAGTCCGGCCCCCCTCCCCACGTTACTCTTCCTAGTTTTCATCTCCTACACTTTTGTCTATTTTTTCCCAAAGTTCTGTTTTTTTACAAATTTGTGCGAGGGGGGGAGGGTCGCCTACTACTACTCCTAGCACTCTAGCACTCTGGCCTGGTGTAGCTTACTGCAATCGTCGGGAGGTCATGATGAGCTCGATCCCGCCAAGTGGCCCATGATTATAAGCACCAAGGGACTCCGAAGCGCGTGACGATTAAAACAGATGAAAGTACATTCCCGGACTTTTCTGATCGTAGGAGCACATTTGCTTGCAATTGGGAAGCCCTATCTAGAAGTTACACCTTTCAAACACCTGCGTGAAAGCCCATGCATGGCGCATTGCATATGTGATGCCAATTGGCGCCCAATGGCCTATTACCTGATATGCTTGACGAAAACATGTGTTTCAGAAGCATACCAAAGTCTTCGAGCCAACTGGAGGTTTCCTGGCCTCGGAGGGGTTTTTTTCGGTGTCGTGGGGGGTGATTACAATGATCACAGCGGGATTTTTTTCGAATTCCGTAGCTAGGAAGCGCATAACCTTGCTGGAAATAGCCATCTTCAGCTCGCGGCCACGTTCTCTTTTTTACGATAAGGTCGGTTATAGCTCCATGACGTAAGCGTAGCCGACACGCGCGTCTCGCAAAAATATGTCCAAGATGGTCACAAGATTTGTCCAACGGCGGAATATCTGACCGGACGTTTTTGAAATCGCTATTCAGTGATAGAGCTAACTAGCCTTACTTCTTCTCATTACCCTCTCGATAGCTTCACGTTTTCCACGATTATGTGGTGTTCGAGGGTTCTTTTCACCGGGTTTGGGTTGATTGGCCTCCCACTCGTAACTAGCGCGGCACATTGCGATTTTATGAATTCTTGATTTTTGTTTTTGTGAGTCTGATTTTTTTGTGGTTTGTTTTGTTGTGAGGAAATTGTCAGGGTCATTTACGTTTCATAGGTTCCTTTGAATGATTCTTCTAGATATTTGCGGTATTGTGGTTGGGGGAACTAGCAGTTGAGAAGTGATGGCGATAGTGTCTGAAGTTTTTGTGAGGAAGGAGGAAAAAGTTTCAGCAATATTTTTTTTAGTTTTTGGCCTAGGAATAGTTCGATAGTGCCTAGTTCTATTTATTGTCATCTACATCGTCCCTTTTTGGTTCTTGTCCTTGTTCGTGTATCACCGCTCTCTCCACTTCAACATGGGCCATGCGTTTACGACCCCCCCTCGATCGCGGGCAATACGACCCCCCTGTTGTGATGATCACAAATGGCGTGCTGCAGGCTCTCGTATCATGCATGTGGTAAAGACATCTTCAGTGTGAGGTTCATTAATGGTTCCCTCTCCTTTGAAATCAGCGCGAGATGATTGCGGACACATCGGACTTCTGCGCATGTGGCCACTTCACTTTTTGGCGCGTTGGGGGTCGATGCGCGAATCGTGACTTTAGCTCGGCCATAGGCACGAAGGCATTGAGACCCACTTAAGCCTCGGCGTATGCCCAAGAAAAGGAAAAGACCGACTTATGGCTTGGCAATGTGAAACTTTCCTTAATCAGGTTGCACACATCGCTTCAAATGTACTGGTACTAACCACGTTCGAGGTCAAGCAAAGGAAGAATCTGAAGATGCGCAATCAACCAGTTCCACGCAATTCACCTCTCTCGCCGCTGTCAAAAAGGAGAGGAAGAAACGTCGCAGTTTCGAAGCCTACTACCTCAAGGATGTCAAATCGAAACGCCAGCAGTATGCACCTTTGATGAAGCAGCTACACCGCAAGAAGCCGTCGGGGTCGGCTTCCCCAAAGGGGGGCGTGTAAGGGAATTTCCCCCAGAACATTTCGTACTTAGGATCCTTTATATTCTATGCTACCTCTGTATTCTCTGAAGTGTTGCAAACAGATTCCTGAAATATTGTAAACAATGCTACCTTGTAACTCTAAATACTCTCTCGCACGTTGTTTAACATAAAGCTAGTTGTCATACAGGGGGGAGGGCAAAAAAAGTCACTTCGACCGAGTCACATATCAGCAAAGTTTTCGCTGCCAGACAGAGGACGTGGATACGAGTACCAGGGCGGAAGATACCCAAGATGTTCCTCGATAAGCAGGAGCTGGCTCTCGCCCATCACCTTCATGTACACCAAAATATGAAGTCATCTCCAGTCGCAGCCTGACTGGAGAAGACTTTGGAATTCATGTCACCTCCAAACAGCTGCGAAACTTCTAGTATGGAGTCACCCATGGATACCTGGAGAGCCAGCTACCTGGAGAGCAGTACTCTCGATCTGGAAGATCTGGAAGACCTCCATCATCGAGCAGCTCCGTCAACGTCGCTACGGTCTAGGACATCATCTTCACCACAGTCGCCAAGGCGCGGGTTGATGGTATGGACCGGACGTACCTGGAATGGAAAGACCAATATTTTCTTCGTGGACCCGGACTGAAGGTGAGCGCTGGCGGTTACATTGAGCAACTCA